ACGACGGAAATGAAAGCCGAACAAAATGAATTAGATGAAATACTCCGCTCTTCCGTTCCAGGCCTAGTGTCGAAGACACGACAGAAATCTACTCCAAATGGGAATTCGGATTCCAAGCAAGGAAATTCAGGAACTGGCCATAAGATCCTTATCGAACCAAGTGTATTCAACATGAGTATCCTTCTTCCACCTTCGCTCTCTTTTATTCAACGTTTGAAGGAAATTGTGCCCGTGGATTCCGATATTGCTATGAGTACCTTGACTTCCTTCTTGGATGACTTTATGGTCAATGTGTTCCTCCCCCAGTTCGATGAGACGGTCACAGATCTCTGCATGCTGAGCTACATTACACCGGATGCATTTACAGAAGATCCCCAATGGTTGGCAGTATCGCCGCGTCCAGTCTTCAAGGTAAGCCATTAACATCCCAACGCACTGGGGCTTCTCTGACATTGGGTGCATTAGGGTACGGTTAAATTCATGTCCATCATCCGCGAGTTCAGCAAAATGCTGTCTAGTATTCCCCATGACCAAGCATTCACTCAACTACTGATCACACAAATCGTGAATTACTATGATAAATGCTGCGGGTGGTACAGAGGTAAGGACCGGAAACTACACTTCTTGACACATTTTTCTGATTTGATGTATAAGCCATCGTGACAAAAATTTCCCCTCGTGACAATGGTGAATTTAGACTCAAGGCCGCTGCGCAATATGCCAAATCGGGTGACATCCACGATGTAGTCAGTGAGCTATGGAGAACAGAAGCAAGCAACAAGGAGGAGCTTGTGGATAAGGTGAATATGATTTTTGGGGAAGGATGCAATTGTTACTAACTACTTCTCAGGAAACCAACCTTCTCCTTGAACATACTAATGAAGTGCCTTTGGAGCCATACGATATCATCTCTGACCCTAAGACCGTTATGGCTCTCTCTCTTCTATACAATAGCACAGTGAGTCGACCATTTGCATCTGTATCTCGATCTTGTTACTTACACTGATCAAGCAATGGCTTGCAAGCCATCTACTGAAATTGCGCCAAGTCACGCAGCCATCATCTGAACCACGACAGCCACAAGAAAGCGGGCCACCAAACCGCAGATGGACCTTGATTGGTGCCATGGTGCCAAAACGTGAGGGATCAAACCAACCCGTGTACCTCCCCTTGAATCAAGAAACTGCGACTGCTTTCGATACTACTATCGAATCGCTACGCGACCTTTCTTCAACCGCACTTTTTGCTTTGCATATTGACATTCGGTGCGGTATTATTCACATGCTCACGAGGACCATGGCTGGCCCCAACCCCAGCAACAACCGCAATTCTGAACCTACAACCCCCTCTCCAAACTCAAACATTTCTTGGTGGCATATAGTCCTGAACCAGCCAACGTCCGCTTCACCAACTGTACTTGAGTTAAACAATGATCTGATCTCTTTTGATACAAACATCTCTTCGTATCTGGGATCGGCCGAGCGCTGGTATATCACATCAGGATTGGCCAGGTTTATCGATCGTGTGTTTATTGCTCGTGTCCATCTTATCGGCGCAATGAATCAGAATGGGGCGCTGCGGCTTCAGTTGGACGTACTCGTCCTCCAACAAAACCTGAAGAACATCATCGTTGACCCAGCTGTGGATACAGACGAGGAAGAAAGTGCAAGACGGGCATTTGATCAGAACCATGAGATTGTCGCTCTTCCGCGTAGTGCTAAGTTCCTGGACTGGTTCCTGGAAGGCGCCGAGAAGGCTCTCGACTACGCAAAGGATGAAAAAGAATCATTTGCAACACATCCGGAAAAAGCTTTGGCTGCTGGCAATGGCGAGCCGTTTACCTACGATGAGCTTAGGATCCTCGTTGATCTCTGCTTCTCGGATATTCTCAAGGGGCCTAGAGGTGCAGAGAATCGAGAAGAGTTCATGGCTGCAAAGAAAGCGAGCGCAGACGCACTCCTTAGGTTGAATGAGATAATGTGGGACTCCAGGTAGTAGGACCTCTACTTCTTCCTCTGAAGACTTGTTTATTCGAAAAAGGAGCTATGTTTGACAGCTACTACACGCCAGTTGCACAATTAGTAGATTACCCCTCGGTGCTCTGTTGATGCCCTCGGCATTTTGACCGTCGTGCTAGGGCCGCGAGACAGCCAAATTCCAGATTTCAAAGACAGTGCATTTCCTAATGATACTAAATCGCATATGGTCCGCTATATGGAAAGGATATTTCCACGGTTGTCATCGGGTGCGGAACCTCTTGGTTCTGCCATATAGTAGGCCTTTTGTCTGCCAATCGCCCTTACTGTTTGAGTTTGGTCTTGGTTATCCTCAATTAATCATACGCATGACAGCTGCATGCGTGTAGGTAAAAACCAGCATCGCACCATTTAGCCGTTCTGATAAGATAAAGTGTGAACCCCCCACCCCCCTAGTGAATTCCCTAGAAATGAAGTTGGCATTGAGCAGCACGGTTAAAGCGGAGAAACGGATTGGAAGCACCACGGGGTACAAATAAGCAAGCCAGCGCTCGGGTACCCAGTCTAAGAATATTCTTGGAGACCTCCTCGTCCAAAACTCCTTCTACTACCTCTCGTTTCTTATCCTAAAAGTCCAAGTACATGTCTAAACAGTGTTCTAAACATTGCTTTGTAGAGGTAGAAGAAGGTATATAGGCCAGCAGTCCTGCATCACATGTACCAAGTGTCTGAGCTGCTGGGGTAGAGAGATAAAGGAACCAATTGCGGGGTGAAGAAGAAACACTTCGTTTTTTATAGATGATATTTGCGCCCGGTATTTATTAAGCCTTATTTCTCATGAAGACAAAAACTGATTCTTGTTCTCTCATCTACTCAAAACATGATCTTTTATGCCTTGGGGATGGGGATCGCCCCCTATATGGTAGAAATTCATTATTGAGAACAGGGCCATTGAGTTAGCTAGCGCCTAATTCTAGCCGAATTGGATCATGCATAGAGGACTGGGCACGCTACATAGCGTCTGGGCGGTATCACCGATTCACCATTCAATCATAAGTAAACGGAGTTTTCCAAATGTGCGAGGTGAATTAGGAGATTCTATTCTACCTTTAGATATCAATTTCCCCCTCAGAAGCACATCTCTTCAACCCTCAAAGGTCTAGTTGGATATGGCGCTCGGCTGCAATGGGATATTCAAAATCATTCTTGTTGGCATAAGGTCACCAAGAAGCATATAAAATAGCCCCATCAAGGATTTTTTTTGCATCTCATTTGATAGATATCGCAACGAGCGCGAGCCGTAACATGTTTCTATATCTAGGTAGTATAGCAAAGCGTTGAAGATGTATGGTTAATAAGATGAAAGCAAATTCTCGTTATTACCTTCAAGAATCAAACAGCAAATCTATAGCTCTTGTATCCGGAACAAACCCTAGTTAATTTCATCCACGGCGGGAATATGCTATCGGAGACCTGATGCCTAGGTGTGTGCAAAGGATAGGACTATCGGTACAGGCTCCCGTCGAAATAGTTGTATAAGACTATGAAAGATTGTTTCGTTGGGAAACAATTTTCTTGATCTGCTATCTTTTGCTTTCTGCTCGGATAGATTGTCCTTTTTTTTTTTTAAAAAAAAAAAAAAATGTTCGGGCTACGTAGCAGGCTTGATAGCACGAACAAAAAGCTTCTGCCCCGAGCCGGAATAGCCGGCGGCCTTTCGGTTATATGTGTATGTCCCATTGCAACCGAGCGCCATATCCAACTAGACCATCAGGGGTATAAAGATATTTTGTTGTTATGTATATGCCCTTATAGGCAAGATTGTCTTAAAAACTTACTTCCAAGACCGGCAGGATAAAGAACAAAGAGCGGGTGGCGCTCGCCCCACATTTATACTTAAAAAGACGAAAGCGCATACGATTCTTTCCTCACTTCTTCCTCCGGATTAAAAAGACTTGATAGTACTAAAGAGCTGCCAAGCAGATATCTCAAAACCCCCGATGGTCTAGTTGGATATGGCGTTCGGCTGTAATGGAATATTCACATATAACCGAAAGGTCGCCGGCTCGATTCCGGCTCGGGGGACGAGACCCAGCCATCCGCACAGGATGTCATCTTTTTTTGACCCTACCACTGGTAGTATCAGATCCACCTCTTTTTATCTTTCCGCTGCGAAAACACGGGGTGTTTCGTGAAAGAATTCTTACGCATGGCTCACGGCAGCTCATCCGAACCTTATGTACAGTAGGGTTTCAGCATCACTGACTACTGTAAGACAAATACATAGCTTTGTATCCAGCCGGTGCAACTATTAGTGGATTATTAAGGTGCGTAGCCAAGACACCTTTCTAATTTTTGAGCAAAGGGTTGAGGAGAACCGAGCAAACTTGAAAAAGAGACAAGCAGAAGGAAAGACCAAACTTGGTTAATTTATGTCCCTAGGATTATACAAGATGTATCCATGAAACACTCCCAAGAGTTGTCTATAGCCTTTCTACGCAACATGCACAAGGACCGTACTTGACCCATGGGGTAAACCAAGTGGATAAGACAAAAATCAAAAAGATATCTCGATGCTGTCACACTTACAATGTGATTGGGGTATGGACATGCAGATTGATGTTCTACTTCGATCTGTTCTTGTGTACAAATTCATAGTAATTTCTACTACCGAGTTATGGCTGCTGCATTACTGATGGCTGAACACCTGTAATCGAACGAAATAAATCATCCAAGAATGTAATATCTTAGCGTCATATCTTTAATCAATAGATCGTAAGACTTTGTGAGAACAATGTGAAAGTGGCAGCAGTTGGCCTGAGATTATTCGCCCACTAGCGAAATGAGATCTTTATATGAAACGCCGAACGTGGATCGTGGCGATGGGTCTAAACGATCCGGACCACAGCCGGATAGGCATCACTCCATCTGGGCCCTGCCTATAGGCTAAATCCGGTCTTGACTATAGGCGTTGGGAAATTAAACTACAAAGTACGGATCCACTGGAGGATTTCATGAACCATAGCCGTGTCCTCTCTCATTACTGAACTCCGGACTATGTCTCGCCGGTATACCCGTGATATTTCTGTTATATCCCCTTTCCTCTTCCTCCCATTTCCCTCTCTCGATCGTTCCTTTTCTGTTTGAAATAGCAGGTCTACTGGTTCTGGAATCCGAGATCTAGAAGCCGTTCATTCTTTGAAACCAAGTCAGTGCTTTATTGCACGTTCCTGTCCTTACTTCACATCCAATACATTCATTCCTTTGCTGGCGGAGAGATAGGAATTATCACTCTTTACTTCATTATCTACCCCGGTCTTGAGACATACATTTGCTCTTCGATCTTTCGTCTGCAAAACGTTCACTATGAAGTATCAACGTCTTGCTTCCCTGGGCCTTGCTGCCCTGAGTGTCTCGGGATCTGTCTCTGCAAGCCCTCTCATTCGGCACGAGGGCGAGTCCGTGTGTCCTTCAGGATACACCCAGAGTGTCTACTATGTGACTGTCACTGCTAGTTCTACTCCGGCTCCGACTTCATCAGTTGAGCCAACTACAACTGTAGAGTCCTCGTCGACCGTCACGGAGACTACAGTCATCACCCCGGAGATTCCAGTCCAATCTTCAACATACACCCCGGTTGAGACTGCTGCTCCGGCTGAGACTCCTGCTCCCGTGGAGACCAGCGCTCCTGTCGAGCTTACCACTTCATCATCTACCACCGAGACACCCGTGGTGGCTCCAACTGCTGCTACACCCTCCACCACCGTTGATGCCCAGCCTACAGAAGTAGTCGCCCAGCCTTCTACTCCATCCTCTTCCACCGAAGAGCCAGCAGAAACCCCAATTGTTGCTAAGACACCTTCTACCACTGCTGATGTCCAACCCACAACCGCGGCTGCTGCTCCCACAACCAAACAGCTCAAGCAATCAACCACCAGCACAGCTGCCCCAGCAGCTTCCACTACCTCTTCATCCACCGGCTCGTCTTCCGGTAGCAGCAGCGCATCTAACTCCGGTGAAGCCACCTTCTACGGTGGCAATCTTTCCGGCGGAGCTTGCTCCTTCTCAGGCTACACACTCCCATCCACCCTCTTCGGGACAGCCCTCGGTTCCCCACGCTGGGACAACGCCGCCGAATGCGGTGCCTGCGTCGCCGTAACAGGGCCTAACGGAAACACTATCAAGGCAATGGTAAGCATTACCTCCTTCTCCCTCTTACCCCCCCCCCAACTCTATCAAACCAATACAAACCTAAACTAACCAACCCAACCAAACTAGGTCGTCGACAAATGCCCCGAATGCGACTCCAACCACCTCGATCTCTTCCAATCCGCCTTCACCGAGCTAGCCGACATCTCCAAGGGCGTCATCGACATCACCTGGGACTACGTCTCCTGCGATATCGACACACCCCTAAAACTGAAGAATAAGGAAGGTACCTCCGCATACTGGTTTTCGATGCAGGTTGTCAATGCCAATGAGGCCGTTACCTCGTTGGAGGTTAGTACCGACGGTGGAAGTACCTGGCAGAGCACTACTCGCTCAGACTATAACTATTTCGAGAATAGTTCGGGATTCGGGACTGAGACGGTTGATGTAAGGGTTACTGGGAAGAGCGGGAAGGTTGTGACGGTTACGGATGTGAGTGTTTCTTCGGGAGTTGAGGTTACTGCTGGGGGAAATGTTTAGGGTAGATGGATCTATGTAGCAGTTCGGTATTTAGTTATTTTGTGTGTATGTGTGTGTATGTGTGTGTGTGTGTGTGTGTGTGTGTGTGTGTTGGGCGGAGGGGTTGAATGGCCGTTGTTGTTGTTGTTGTTGTTGTTGTTGTTGTTGTTCTCTTCTCTAAGATGTATCGATTATACTTTACTTTGATGCTTTGGTGGGAGGGTAACTGGGGTCAGTTCATAACCCTAGTGCTTATTCCAGCCTTTCAGCCTTCCGTTCTCTGTACATATTTGAAAATTACAAAGTTCGATTTTTGAATACCACTACACCATGTTACAAAACTAAGCCGGTCACATAAAAGCCTATAAACCATCAAAATGATGTTTTCAACTACAGGGCAAGATTCAAAGTGAAGAATTGCATTCCGATAACGCGCTGCAATATCGCAGGCTTCAACATCCGTATTAATCACACTCCCAGCCGTAGTTTCGCCGACCCATCCTTAAAGATAGCGTACACGAAAGGAAATAAAAAAGAAAAAAGAAAATTTCAGAAGGGGTAACGCGAATAGAGAAGAGAACATAGCAGAAAACCGAACCCAGGCTTAAACAATTAGCGTGTAAAGACTAGTCACGTACTCACTCCCAGTGGAAGATGAACTCAGACTGTACCTGCAAATTCAATAAAAACACGATGCTGTTGCCAGATGGCATCACAGCAAATCTGAAAAAGTTTGTTCAAGGGAGGGAGGACAGTCGAGATGTGAAGAGGAAAGGAGATGTCGAGAAAGAGTGGTTATGTCAGGATTCCCAGCCTTCAAAAAAAGAGAAGAAAATAAGTCGTGGCACGTTTAGAACGGAACGAAGATCATCGCAGAAAGGAAGTCTCGCGACTAATGTATACGCAAAGAGAAGTGAACCGGATGTCAAACCTGGCCCTGATCAACCTCAAGAGGCTCCAGCTCCTTGGCCTCCTCATAATCGTCGAATTCGAGGCCTGCATCGCGACAGCGTTGCAACCATTTGAGCGCAATGTCTCCACGGCGGTTGACTTCGACTTTTAATTTGGAGTTTTGTGCGCTAATCTCGTTGATGGCATGACTCGTAGTCATGTTATTCTGCTCCCATCGCTCGCTCATTGCCTTCTTTTCGTCATGAAGCTGACAAATGTACTCAATCGCGCGTTGCAGAATAGCACCCTTGTTCTTGTCGCAATTTGGAACAAGACGAGCAATCTGATTGATACCTTCATTGATCGCCTCACGACGTCGGCGTTCCACTTTTAAATAAGTCAGTGACAGGATCGAAAGAAAGCAGCGAAAGCGACCGACCTTCTTTGTGATTGTTCTTGCGGATTTGATGCCATTCCGGCGACCCAACGGAGGGCTTTTGGTTCATGCTCTGCGCTTCGCGCGCAGCATAGACAGCAGCGGCGGTAGAATTATGACCATGAGCGCCACCTATCGCTTGGCCCATTTCGTCTCCGAACGTCAGGCCATGCGGAAGGCTACTGTCAAATGTCGCGTCTGGGGGAGGTGGGTATTTATTCTGCGGTTGGTGCGCGGCTAGAGCAGCTTTAGCAGTCAGAGCATTCTCATCAGAGATACCGTTCTGCGGACCGACATGTTGGAGAATTTGCTGGTCAATATTAAGCTCCGATGCTGCACCAGGGAGGCCATGGGTATCATAAGATGCGAGCGAGGTATGGCCGAAATTAGGTTGGGTATCTGGGCCTGGAATACTGCCGTTACTTCCGTTGGAGGAGCGGTTCAATCGCTGAGCATCAGGCCCGGTGCTGTCAGTGCTTTCGCGCTTTCTCTTATTGTTCATGCCATCAGTGGCACCCAATGAGGGATCGGACATGATGCCGAGTGTTACAAATAAACTACCCTACAAACGAATGATGTCAGCAGACCAGTGGGAAGGAGCGTCAGTAGAACCCTGCTTACCTGCTAGATAAGGTAGAGTCTAGATAAGATCGGGCAACCACGCTCCTGCACAGCTACTGACACCAATCTATTGTTGAGTGAGTGATCTATGTACCATATGGTTTTGTCAGTTATCGCAGCTCAATGGTCAGTAGTGCAGATGCAAGTCTCATATAAAGCAGAAATAGCTGTGTTGAGATATGATGGGTAATGCCAATCTAGAAAGAAAAAATTTATTCAATCAATAGAAAAGCGTGAATCATGCTGATCAGCATTGATGCTGAGGTGCAGGGTGGGAGACGCGTTTGGGGGGGTTGACGCGCGCATCTCCGCTTCCACATCCACATCAATAACATCTGGTCAGTGAGATCATGCCAGCGGCAAAGCAAAACTCTTCATGTATACACCTAAACATATAAATCGCGGGAGCATAAATAAAGCCATAGGACAGAGATACATCAAGCAGTATCCATCAGCAAGGAACTACAGAAGAAACGCGCCCTGACAGTTTTGCGACCGACGTAACCGCGCGACATCATAGGCAACAGCCTCCTCGCGACCGGTTCATGGCGGACAGCATGAAAACCAAGGCGATGGACGGGACAATAGTAGGAGCAACATGCAGCAGCAACCCGCGAAGGTTGTTGCGGTTGGCAGAACGGATAACAAGGAGGAAGTAAACGAGAAGAAAGGGAGCAGCAGTACCTTGGGATGGACTATCTATCACCTGACAGCAAGTCACCTGCCACGGGCAACAACAAGATAGGATGATCGCGATTCGATCGTGAGAGCAAGAAAACGAAATTTGTATCGGGAAGAAATGGTCGAGGCAGAATCGTCTGGCTTCAATACAGCGGACAAGCCGGATTTGAGAACGAACAAAAAGAAGTGGCGGCTTTTACAATGGAAAGTAGGGATACATGGAGGTGTAGAGAGAGAGTCGAGTAGAGAGGGATTGCTCACGTGGCGAGGGCGAAAGACGAGGTCAAGCCTTTGGCCAAAAAGAGGAGGAATGCGGTGACCGGTTGTGACCTGGTGTGCACTCTGGTCACGGGACAACGGAGCCTCTCTTTATCTCTTCCTTTATCGATCCATCGATCATTCCATCGCAGGACGACTTGGGAAGGCCTTGCACCGAGTCAGTCCGCTCATTATCAACCAATCTTCCGTAGCCTTTCCCTCCCAAGTTAATCCAACCGGTTTTCTTCCTCCCTCCTTCTTCCCCATTTAGATGTCATGTGCTGCAATCCCGTGCCCCCTCCTCATCCAAGGTCCCCGTTTGCATATCTGATTGGTTACTTGTTTTCGCCTTGGCCGGTTGCCGGAGGAGGGGTTCACCCGGAAATCACGTGGGTTATTGCAACCCTCCTGAAAGAAGACAGGACGAAGATCATGAACTCTTAGTAGTAACTCTGCGATGTTTCCCCAGGCCTGCTGTGTTCATCGAATGATGGCCACCGTCTCCTCATGCAGAATGGTGTCATTGGAGAACTAAATCCCCCCATTTGGGAGTGCCTGCTCATCCCGACCGGCCCGTCCCTCCTTTGGGTCCTTGCTTAGGTTGCACGGTCCAAAACGCATAATATCAGTTATTTAGTCGACGAATGACGGGGATCATGCCATGTCTCTCGATTTTTCCATGTTAGATGCCGATCACCTAGTCCGCCTGGTCTTCGAGGTATAACAGGATCACTAACCTAACAGCCCCATCCCCCCCCGATCTAATCATTCTGGAATCATTCAACGTTTCAAGTCCGCCAGGGTTTCTGACCCCCTCATTGGCAGAAGAACCATCTCGATAGTTCAATAGCCCAGCACGGAGAACACCTTCCCAAAGAATGAATAATTGTCTCAGTTGACAGATGCAATAAATGTCTTTCGCTGAACCTTCCTGACTTGAGATCCTCTCCCATTGGATTTCAGTGGTTTTCTTTATCCCTCCACCATATTTAGCTCACTGCCCCTCCCCCCAAAAAAATAATGACTTCATCTGACCCTAGTGTCACATGTGCTCACCGCGCGCATATTAGAGGCTCAGCGCCCCCAGTTGTGTTCTTCACTCAGCGACAGTGTCCAATCTAAGGCCTATGGTCTGTGGGGATGCTTGCTAGGGTTGTATTAAGAAAACCTGTTCTCACCCATCAAGATTGTATTCTCGACACCATCTGGAAAGGTGTCGATCAATCTGGTCATAAGATAAGTGGAATGTTAAAGAAAAAGATGGGCGCGTGAAGGAAAAGGGAGGTACTGAGACGATAGTTTATCGGGGCCACAGCCTGAGCACCTATTAAATGGTTAATCGCCGGACTTTTAAGTCTAGAATCCCCCCTGTCTTTGCAGAAAAGAAAGAAACAAATATCACATGGACAAGCATTCAGTATGACTGTCAAGTGACTCACATGACTCTTGGACGTGTAAGTGTGGCAAGACGTTCATCGGAATGCTGGCCGACCAGTCGTGAGACTATCGTCGCAAAAAAGCACAAGACGTTTTAGCATAGTTGAACAGATGGAAGAGAATGGTTCGCAGATTGTAGCATATTCACGATCCTGGCAACCCAGCTCCTGTAGTAGATAGGCTATAGATCATTACGAGTACGAGCATCTAGATCGCGCGATAACAGACTCAAACATGTTATACTTCCCATCGACCGACATTTTTGAAAGGATACTACTATTATCTCCTGAGCCTTGGATACTTCCCCAAAGCCCAATCACATTATCTACTAGCTTTAACTAGGCCGAAAACCATTTTTGGGTCCATCGTTGTATCCGCAAAGCAGATTCCTTCGGCTGTCGCGGCCATCATATCCCAGCAGAGTATTTTCACATCAAACGGCGATGTATCCTTGTCCCCACTCTGATCCTCATCGGACCCATTCCCAGGACCTCTGTTCGCAGCACTAGTTTCTCCATCAGCCGGGGGGCGGCGCGTCCGTTGCGTGACAGCAATAATAGCACTTGTGCCAGCGTACAGAGCCGGGTTGGTTCCCTCAGGACCTGGTTCCTCTCCCGCCCGATTCGCAAAAACAATAACCGTCTTCTTGCCAGACTCAGCATCATCCCCATCAAAGTTAACCTCATGACGCAATCGTTTCTTGATGAGGGGCCAAAACCGCTGGATCCAGTAGTTAAAGGTATCCATTTCCGGTTCCCCAGCGAGAGCGTCGAGTTCTTCCCGGCCCAACGATGTCAGCCAAGCCATAGAAAGGACGACTAGTTGAGATTTTGAATCCAGCACTCGGTTTGCGAACTCCCATGCAGTGAATGGTGTCTCAAACTTATACGGGTTGATATCCATGCATATTCCGAACGAAGTGGCGACGTTGGTGCTTGGAGAATTCTGTTCTGGCGAATTTCCAAAGGTAAGCTCACGATAGCCCCTCTTCACATCCCCCTCTGCGGCCCATGTCTCATCCGTATAGTACAAAAACGTCTTGCGATAGTTGTGTAAAACTTCCCCTTTCTCGTCTACTACAAGAAGAGAGTTGTAGTACATCTCCTGCTGACTATCCGAACCATCCATTTGGCTTGCCCCAGCTTCCTCGACTTCAGGATACCCAACGCACACTTTGCATCGGTAGCGTCTAGCAGTTTCTCGTGCCCAGGTAGCTGATGGTCCCTTCCCCGCAGACTCCAGATATGGCTTGATAGCCTCCAGCGAAGGGAAGTTATAGCCTGTTCATAGAGCATCAGTATTGGCGCCCATAAAGAAGGATTAACACAAAACATACCAGTTAAAGCTAACTCAGGCAATATCAGAATATCCGGCTTCAAGATGTCGACCCCAATCCCAACACCTCCGAGCACTTTGCCATGCTGTAGCAATTCATCGGCCCGTCTGATGTTGCCTTCCACATCCCCCAATTTTGGGGCGAACTGTAATGTGGCAATTCTCATTCCCCTGCGCTGCTGGATGTAGATACGCAGAACAGGGAATGGTGTGAAATGATGCGTTGAAGGGGATCTCTTTTGGGTATTAAAAGCAGCGGAATGAATCGCAGGAGAAGATACAAACGGTCGACCCTGTTGGCCGAAACCAGTAAGGAGAGAATATAGTTGCTTCGGAATAGCAATGATGACGAAATATAGTAGCAGTGCTTTTTTGTCTGTTGTAAATAGTATCAAGAAGATGTGTAGCGCCTGTGGAATGAAAGTCGATAGGGCGTTGATGTTGGTTCTGATTGGTTTCGCCAGTGACAAAACTCCAGCGGTGGGGTTGGGCGGTGGGTCTTTTGTTCGTAGCTTGAGGTCGCCAGGGGTGTATTTACTCCCTCAACGACCGCTTGTACATACTAATAACTGATCTCTTTTCATGGAGAGTAGGTAGGTATATTATGTTCTTAAAAGTCAATGACTATGTAATCTGTATACAGTAGTCTAACAAAAACCATAGAGTTTCAATGATAGTACAACAAAACTACCTAAACTGAAGGTGGGCGCAAATTGAGTCCCACTCGCTAAGATCCAGAACAAATCAAGGTATATGATCTTTCCCGCGCCATGCTTGAGACCCAGGTATGCAGCAACTCTCGAAACCATAAGTAAACACAGAATTCGCTTAACGCCGTCACCCAATGCAGATAATGAACTCCAACACACCTAAGACAATATGTACCTCAATGGCTCCATTGAAAGAGCCAATGTCAGCCTCGAACGCATGTAACAGTATGGGATAAAGTTTCCCATGGATGTGCAATCGTGTTGTTGATTACCCAACGGTCTCTATTTAGATTTTCGTTTCTTTTTAGGGGTAAAGTCCAGTGGCTTATAGGCCAGCCCTTTGCCACCCGTCATACGAAGTCTTTGTTCGGTGCGAGACAATGTGCGGCCCAGTCCGAGATCGGTATCAGGGGCAAGCGCAAGGTCATACCCGTTCACAAGTGATTGGGGTGATTGACTCCGGGAGAAAGAATATGACGAAGAGAAGCTGCTTCGAGGGCTGAAAGACGAGCGCCGAGGTTCAGATGACCGAGTAGACCAGTTTTCTATAAGTCTTGGACCACTCCTGAGAGATTCAGCGGCTATACGGGCAGCAGAGAGGAGGATTTCATCCTCGTCAACTTGATTCGGCTTTGGAGGCTCGGGTTTGGGTTCGGCTGCCGGCTTCCGCGTCATTGACTCGATTTGCTCTAGGATAGGAAGCTTTGGTAGAGGTTTGATAGAGGAAAGCGCCATTGACTTTTTATGTAACGCCGGAGTTTCCGCTTTCGGTACTTTCGCAGCCTTAGAGCCAGTTTCTATCGGCAATTCTTCTTCTGGGTCTTCATGGACTCGCTTGCGACTTGTCGAAGAGGTCCTCCGTCGCTTATCAGCTGCTTCTCTTAAGGTTTCTATCCAAGCCAAACGTCGATCGTTCGCATCGGGATCTGGAACATCATATTAGCGATACACTGCACAGCAGAGTAGCCTTGCTCTAATGCCACGAATTAACTCACCGACAGAATTCGCCTCATCTACAGTAGGCTCTGTAGGCTCTGTAGCTAAAGGAGTAGGTAAAGGAGATATGGCATTTAGATTGTCTTGTTTGATGGATGTTGCAGGGGCCGTAAGTTCTTCTGGTTTAGTTTCTGCTAGTGATGATGAATTCATCTCCTGCTGTTGTTGGGTAGCGTCATTACTGTGTAATGAAGGAAGCTTGTCCCTCAATGCAGGCTCCTCAGCTGTTGTTTTTGTGAACGTAGGTGCTTCAGGTTTTGCAGGGTGTTCTTGCCCTATATTGCTATCTGTGTGCTTCCCAAGAATAGAACTTCCCTGCCTAAGGGTTGAGTCGGGTAACGTGGGCTTGGGGATCTCTGGAAAGTTATTAGAGCCTGCCATGAATGAACGTATTGCATTTTGCACAAGTCATACCGTTATTTTTCGATGCAAATGGCGACGGAAAGGCTGCTGGGGGCTGCGCAAAGGGTCCCTGCGGGAATTTCGGAGAGTTTCTCTGGAGCGGGCCCCCTATATCGCTAGAAATAGTGCTCTGAGCAGTGGTATTGAACATGGCGCTAGGCGCGCCTGCAGGGATTGGTGCATTGGTGGTATCAAATATACTGGAAGGCTGGCCAGCAGTCAACCCAGCAGTTTGAGGCTTGGCATCTGATAAGGTTGTCGGAAAAGTAAAAGGCGAATTGGTCGGTGTCGTACTGGGTTGAAATAGACTAGGGACCTTGGAGGTGGGTGCCGTGGAGATAGTATTAGGCGCATCGGGTTTGTCTTTCTGTACTTGCTGCGAGACCGGACTTGGTGCTGCGGTAAAAATGGATGTGGACTGCGAATTATTTGGCCCAAAGGAGAATGGAGAACTGATGTTATTTGTCTCAGGTGTCTTCGAGGATGTGAGAGAGGACAGGTCTGCAAATGGGGTAGACGGCGCCGATGCCGTGGGAGCACTAGCCGAGGGACCAGTCGCGAACAAAGTGGACAGTGGATTAGCACTCTCAGACGGCTGTAATGCACTAGGCGTCTGGGAGAATATGCATGCTGTTTGTATCGGCTCAGCACTTGTTGATGTTTGTGACGATTCCCCAAAAGCCCCGCGAAGACTATCTGCGGATGTCGGTAAATCCTGTCCTGATCCATCCTGCGCAAAGTTCCCGCTTGGCTGTGGTGTCTCGTTATCGTCATCGCTGACGAAGAGTGCATCGTCGTCTGCAGAAGCCCCCGGTGTTGGTGCAGGCAAAGCCAGAGGGCGCTCTTGTAGAGCTGAGCTGTCAACCATCCCTAGTTGTGCTGCTTGCGTGATATTCAAACCAAGAATGATTGCGACTAATGTGCGGCCTGCACGCTTTGACTCGACATATGTCTCTGAGAATGTATGGTCTGATGTTCTTCGGAACTCTGTTACTCAATGGGTTAGTCGAGGAAATGAAGTGAATTGAAGAACGGATATCACGAAACGTCCTCCCATTATCCGGTCAAAGCGAAGGCCTATTCAACTGACAAAAGAGATCAAGTGGTTTCGTCGTCAAGAGTCACACATACCAACTGAGTCAATGTTACGGTTTCCCCAATTCAAATATAGGTCGCCATTTGCGTTCTCAGCAAATTCTAAGTCCTGTTCTTCGCAAAACTTGATAGTCTGTTCAGTGTCGTCAAAGTATAGCACTCTTGTTAACTCATCTACAGTCCATTCTTCGTTTTTATGTTGCTGAGAAGATGGATAGCGGCAATACCCCTTCCAAATCGAGCGGATAGCAGTCAGTCGCACGTTGTTGAAGTAGATCTCTGCAACACAGGCCATCAAATACGAGACAGCCGGAGAGTCCACAAGACTGAAAAAGCGCTCGTAAAAGCCCTGTGCAATTGCGTTTTGCCTTTTAGAGTCGAGCGTTCCCTGATACTCCCACCCATTACCAGCAGCAGCCAGTAGTTCCAGTGCTAATTGAACTCGCGGAGAATTGCGTAGTTCAGCTGGCCACTTCTGGACACGCGCTTCCAAGTCGGGCCGCTGATCGAGAATGGAAAAGATAATATAGTACGCGCGGAATTCATCTTCGTTTGGAAACGAGATGCGACCCCGATTGTCGTCGTAGTAGTACATCAGCGACAACATCGTATTATTAAGCTGTTCACGTTCCTGGTGATGATCGAACGGTTCTTCGTTGGCAGGGCTAGAAAGCAAGTGGAGCGATACAATGTGGAAACGAGCAATCCTTTCGAGACAGGTGACGGCCATTTTTACATGCTCTTCCTGAGTGAGTTGTTGGACTGAGAAATCATTGCGAATAGATCGAGTTCGATCCCAAACGAACTTGTGGATCAGCCCCAGGGGCTCGGGTCCGCCGATTACATGACGGATTAAGTAGTTCATGGTCTGGAGAAGGGTCTTTGGTGTTCGAATATCGGATGGAAGTTGCTCGTCATAGCCAGCAGCCGATCTTCGGAAACGTTTGAGCATTTTCGTTTCCAGGTTCTGCAACGAATTCGTTGAAGGATGAAGCAACTAGGTCCGAAATGTAAGCGCAGGTCGAGCAATGATACTGATTTACATGAATACCTTTTCGCTCTTATCAACCATCTTCTGAACGATGCGCTCAACGCGTTCAAACTCGGGACACATGCTAGTACATGTCCCGACAGGTGTAATAGCTTGGTTCAAAGAAGTTGGTTGGTTTGGATCGGCCATTTGTCCTTCCCTGATTGCTTTCTCTCTCTGTTTAGCCCTATCGAGTTTGAGCTGTGTATCTGATTAGCATGTTAATCTACCTCTCTCTCCAGATAGCAAATAAAAACCGACCTGTTCGTAGCGATCGTTGTAGTTGTTTGAAGCAGTCGCATCTTCGACAGGTACACTGGACATCGTCGCACCATTCGGTCGTATTGAGGAAGGCCGCTTTCGGGGATCACGGCTTGAATCGACCTGGGTCCCATCAAAAGTGGAAGGAGCCCCAAATGACGGCGCTTTCCCAAACCCGGGAAACAAAGGTTTTTGCGGTGCAGTCTTCCCAGCGAAGGGCGACGGAGAAGGTTGATTCCCATTCTGTTTCAATTGAGCGAATGGCGAAGCCGAATTTGCGGATGGACCACCGTTCGAGTCGGGTTTGCGCCAGGTATTTCCCACTGCACCACCCGCCCGGGCGTGGCCACGAGTAGCCCTGGGAGCCGACATTGCTCCGCGTCCGCGACCACGGGCTCTGGGGTTATGAGGCGCATTTCCATTTTTGGCTTGATGAGGCGCCGAACGTCCAAGTGTCCCACCACGTCCACGACCTACTGTTCCCGTTGTGCCGTCTTTCTGGCTAAGGCCAGCAAATGGGTTTGGCGGACCGGCCATTCTGTCGCAAGCAACGCGGGAACAGTGGACAAGGATACACCTGAGGTGACCAGGAACTCCCGTCGCGCGAGGTTATCACAGGTTTTGTCCGTTTAGATTCCAATCATTGACAGGAGTTGAGGGACGTCGGATGTAAAGATGGAAGGCGATGAATGAGATATCCTAAAAGTGCTATCCTCCGAAAACCATTGGCAGGAGCGTGACGAAAGAGTTAGCCAAGGATGGCCCCGGAAGTAACACAGTTTTCATGGTAGCACGATCGAGAAGAAAGAGCGGGTGAATAAAGGGTGAAAGAAATGGTGAAGGGACTATCATCTACGGGACCTGTGGCTAAAGCTAAAGGAGGAAACGATCACGGCGCAGTACCTTTCGATGCGGATATTGATAGTGGAAGGTCTTCCTCAAGACAGAAACAATGTCAGAAACAGAAGTCTTTGCAGTAATGCAACAGCTGCGACGTTGCAAGCCAGATCGGATGGGGCTTCAGATCGTGGGGAGAAACCTCCGCGCGGGCAAAGCGGTGATCCAAAAGTAACGGAGGTTCGGTAGAAATAGGCGCAGTTCCGGAATGCGAAATTAAGATGGTTGGTTCTAAGCTGGCTTGGCTCGTTCAATTTGATTGTCACGAATGAGGAGTGTAGAAGGGGGATGGATATGGTCGGTTTCTATCCAGTCTTCAGCGAAGCTCTGTCCTGTCAGCTGCACCTGCGTCAAATGCCCGGTAAACGCACGGACCAATTTTATCAAGCGCTACTAAACGCGCGCCTAACTTCAGTTGACAATCACAATCGACGTTGGCTTATCGATTATCCGTACTTACTCGGTTCGCTCTCTTACTACTAGTAGTATTTACTCCGTACTGGGCACTGGTTCAGAATTTCGAATATTCAAAAAAAAAAAAAAAAAAAATTTTAATAATAATAATAAGCATATGATTTCAGACTAAAACTCAAAAATACGTGCAACACGCTTTTGAAACCAAAATCGCTCCACAAACCCAAAAAAGCCATCGTGGCCACAATTACGCCCACCGCATCTATAACCAATAAAATCCTCATTTCAGGCCGCCGCTTCTGGTTTCAGAAGCCAGGAAGCATTGATGTAGCCTGTATATGGACGCCTTCGCTCCGAATACTTCATAAGGAAAATTCCACGCAAGGTAAAATCTCGCACACAAAAATAAAAAACAAAGAAAGGAAAAGAAAAACAAAAATATTTGCAGCATACATCCGTCCCAAGGCGCCATCGAAAACATTTCTGTCCAATGCATACAAACGTGTAGTTGCAAAGATTGAAACCAACCAGGAGGGGAAAAAACGTGTAAAGAGGCGTAACATATATATAGAGCCTGAAATATAAATCAAAGAAGCGAATAGCCACCAAGTGATGACCAATTTGTCTGAAGAGGAGTGTTGTGTGAAATCACGAAGCAGCAGAAGTCTATTGAAAGTTCATACAAATCATGCGGGTCATTCAAGCTCAGACTGTGGCCGCAGTTTCGATACCTGAATAGAAGATGTGGCGGGAGAGTGTTTATGCATGGTGAGGTATCATATGAGGGTGACTCAAGGATCCCGTGCGGAAGGGGTTTCCTTTTGGTAGACCATGAGGAGTATGAGCCAGCTCTGCTGCGTGCGAGGTGGTAGCGACCGGCATGTGGTAAGGCATATGTTGAGGAATGTTCTGAGCGGGGGCAGAGCCATACTCCATAGGGTTGAACATGCTCTGCCGGTATGATGGAGTCCAGGAATCAAACTGACTAACGGATTGCTGCATAGGCAAGGCTGTCGGGCGCTGGTGAGAGATTATCGGCTCCCCTGTTGTCGAAGCTGAAAATGGAGTCTGTAAGTAATCAAATGCATTGGGCTGTTCGGTTGGGGTAACAAGTCCCGATGTTACGGGCGTCTTAAGAATAGGATGGGAGTATTCATCGGGGTACTCAGAGTTGCCGTAATACGAGCGTTCATGTGCAGATTGCTCTCCGAAACTCAATGATTCAGGCAATGGGAACAACTGGCCCCTGTCCCCTCCCATGTGCATGGGACGCCCATGTCCACTCATAGTCATGTCAACGGAGGATGTGAACGAGGAAGCTTGTTCAGCCGACGATGGCGGTGTCAGGAACTCGTCATCGGCTTCCTCCAAGTCTTCGGGTTCAAATTTTTGTTCTGGCTCGCTGATGGTGTCGGAGTCCTTGTCCTTCGCGCTGGCATCCCTGTTCTGGACATACACCAGACAATTCGCATCTAGTAAAGCGTTAGCATGTGCTACGGTCGAAGGCCTATAAAGTGAGACATACCAACTTCACCAAGCTCATATCTCTCTTCCATCCTCCGCACTTTGAAAACCTCGTCCAAGACCTCAATCTTTGAGGTAGGTCTCAGTTGTCTCTTAGAATCATGTGCAACCTCTTGCAGCTTATCGGGGGTGATTCCAAATTTCCCAAGCTTACGCACAATGTGGATAAGGAGTCGAATGCGCTCTAATGACTGTGAGTATGGATAGACTGTCTATCGAGGAACGCATCTACTCACGCTCTTTCCTAAGGTGGTCGGGCTCCTTGTGGACCACTCCCGCTGGCCACCACTCAGGCTTGGTTTTCTCAGGGTCTCCCTTCTCTCCCGAGGCAGCTCCAGCTCGAGGCTTGCCTCCATTGTAAGGGTGCTTAACTTGCTTCCGAGGCTCGATAAACTTAATGAAAGCTTTGGCAATCTGGCGGCAATTAAGCTGCTGGAAATGCTTCAAGGCATTCTCATAGTACTCAAGGATCTTCTCAGTGTCCCCGATTTCAATGCCTACCATGCTTGTGGAGGCAGGTACTTCCTCAACTGGCTCAGGGAAATGTGGTTCAATAGCATGCTCTTGGAAGGAAGCTTTGCGTCGCTTTACATGGCGGGAATAGTCGTCAGGACGCTGGTAGCCATACAGCGATGCTGCCATACCTGAGAATTCTAATACTCAAAGTGATTAGCCAAAATGTCCATGAGGCTCAGGAAGTATTTAATGTACGTACTGCGAATGGTGGGCCGGCGATATCCAATTTTTGCTCCAAGTATTTCCAAGAACTTATCCTGTACGTCAGGGGTAAAAACTGTCCCGTTGGTTTCCCGGATAGAAGAAGACTCCTGAACCTTAAGTCTTCCGAGGTTGTCGAGATAAATCATCGCATAATGGGTGTAAGGGAGGTTGAACGATGTACGCATGGTAACATCCATAGCCTATATGATCAGTGATTGCTTCATTCTGACTTGACTCTGTCCTACTTACTGGAGCGGTTTCCCATCCAGTATAATCATCGTGCATAGAGGATGCCGGCCGCTTGACGGCCCCCGTGCCGGAAACAGATGCACCGACAACCATGATGTCTTAAGGAACGTTTAAATAAAGTTAGGGTGCCAGTTAGGAAAAGAGATAGTAGTCTGAGAGTCTGAGGGGCTTTCTTATCAAGAGGAAAAGAAAGCTTGGTCAGATACAGTGACACTGGTAGGCAATATGGAACATAGAGAAGGCCTCAAGGTTGCGATGGAGTGTCGGCTGAGCGCGAATAGGGCGGCAATTTGTATTTGCTCGAGGTCCAGAAACAAATGCACTGCGACAGGATGGCTCAAGGCGACGTTGAGGGAATAACAAACCCCTCTATCTCAAGTGACTTGGTCGAACGGGACGTGGCCGCGTTTGATCTGGAAAACTACAGATGTAATGGCAACTATGGTGCCAACGGGCCTTGGTTAGCTACCAACTTGGTCATGGTAAGACGCAAAGGTTCATCAAGCAACGAATTGTAATAGCAAGGCATATGATCAGAGTCGGATGGAACGGTACAACGTGGGGTCCGCAATCCCGCTGCTATCTGGTGTAATTCCCCGACAGTGCTGGCAGCATCCTGGATCCCCCCAATGTCCGTCAAACAGAGAGAGAAGTGGGAAAGTATGCATAGGCTCCAGCAACTCACAGCACACAGTGATAAGGGCAAGTTGTCGAAAGCCAATCAAGGTGCTGACAGGCAAGTCGAGAGGATGTCAGAAGCACCGGCAGGCTGTACTAAACTGCTGGTAACCGATTTTGGGCACACAAGACGTAGTAAGATGAAGGGCAGCAGGGTTGAAGCGAACGAAAGGTCTTCTTCCTTGAAATGTATGTACTAGAAAAGGTAAACGGTTGGTGTAACAGAGTTGTTTGACTGGGGGAGAGTCAAGTCCTTGTTAAGTTAAGAGAAGGATGGATGGATATGAGTGAAAAGTAGAAGTCACAAATAACAAGGAAGAATGGGTGACTTTATAAAAGAAGATGGAGAATGGAAAAGGAAAGGACTGGACTATGAGTATGCAAGATTTTGAATGATTGATCGATTACATCTAGACAGAAGAACCCACACAATCCCCCGGGGCGTTTAGTCGTCCACCCCCTCCCCGGTGGTGGTATCGAACTGTCCCAATCTGGAATTGGCATGATGGGCTTGGTCAAGTGGGCAACCCAGGATCATCCATGATCCTGGAGCCCATCAGAAGCCGAAACACAAAAAGACAGGGACTAACAGGCACCGGTAGACCACTTGCGGCTGCATCTCTGGAAAGTGGACATGCAGTAGGGTGATAGAAAATGATTTTATTATTTTATTTATTTTAGTTCGATTAATTTTTTAAAATAAAAAAAAAATGTAATTTAAAAAAAAAATTAATTAATTTTTGGGGGAAAAAAATAATAACGTTATTATTATTTATTATTATTATGGAAAATTTAATTTCTTACATCCTGGTTTTACTATTTGTAGATCGACTGCTTTAGCTTCTGGCAGCTGTGCAACCGCCCCCAGAGGCTTTGTTCGGAGCGGCCAGTGAGCCTAGTGGCGTATCCATTATTGGTCTCCACAGGCACTTTGGCGACAAACCCTACAAAATGTTCACTAAATTATTTTTCTTCATTTAATTAACGAAGTATACTTTAAGTGACAAAAGCACCACACTAACCTCCGTAACACTTAGTCAACTTCACTAGTCTTTTAGTTTAGCTAAAGACTGCAACCGCCACAGCTCCAATAACCATCGGCTTGGGGACCATCTGAGACTTTGATTTTGATACCTTGGGAGGCGCTAGTAGCGTTGGTAGATAAATGCTTGCCGGTATAGCTGCCGAGTTTGAGATAAAGAGATGATAGGAATGAATAACAATCTTGATATAAGTCCCTAGAAAAAAAGAGAAT